TGGCTGTGGTTTGCTGCCTTTTGGAGTATCTGAGACTGGAAGCAATGGTTTTGCTGCGAATTCTCGGCTCGCTAGCCAAACCTGTCTGGCTGATGATGCCAATGCGTTATCTGCCGCCGCCGATGGCTTGCAGGCGCTTGTCCATCTGGCTAGCGAGTTCGCTGATAACACTGCTAATTTGGCTGCCAGACTTACAGAACCCGATCGAGTCCTTGAATTGGCCGGCCGCCAGCTGGCTGGGCTGGCGGATTCGCGACGCCAATTCATTCGAGCCTCTGAACATCTAGACTCTGTTGTGGCTAAGGCTGCAGCGGTAAACCAGACCAGAATAGTCGATGCCCAAGAGGCTGATAAGTCCTTGGTTGTAGCTCGTGTAAGTCGGTCCAATATTATCAAAATTCGCTGCAGCTCATGCAGACGAGTTTTCAGAGTATATTTGAACAAGTAAGGTGCATTTACCTTTGCTGGGAAACTTGTTTCTACCATAGAAAAATATTTATTAATTTTTTGGCAATCCTGATTTTCGTGTACATTCAAATTTCGTTATTCCGATATCGCTTATCCTATTTAATAAGCTTTTTTTATTATCTTGAACTATTACTATCTTCAACGAAGTTTATCGTGATCATTCTACTCAAGCGTCTATTCATTTTAAGTAGGTTTTTGTTTAGGTAATCCACAAATGGGATTTTATAATCATATATATGCGTTGCATTCTGCCATTACATCTATGATACTAATGAGTCTGAGCATAGCAGGCGTGATTCATTGGTACCAGGAAATGTGAATATTAATAAGAAATTTAGTTCAGAATAACTATTTTATCAGATCCGTTAATAATTATGCCCAAGAATTAAGGAATATGATAGGGGAAAGCGGCTCTAGGCAAAGCAATGAGTTGAATTACTCCTAGGTTCTTGACTTGTTTATCCTTTGGGATTTCGATATAGGACTGGTGAGCTACAAAGGGAATGGCGCATGATAGCATCTTACAAAAACTAATATTTTCCTCTGAAGACTTCATGCCTGTTATGCTGATCCTTTCGTATAAGGTTTTTGATCAGTGATATTATTGTTTATATGTAGTAGTCTTGTATACCTGGATACAAAATATCAAAGAACGTATAGTCTCACAATATTTATTAACGCTGCACGGCATTTAGGAAATGAATAGGATGTTTTGCACATTTCACTTTCGCCTATCTACAAATATATGCATAAAGTATCATTGGTATTTTATTATATTCATAAGTCAATTAATATGAGAAAACGACATGAGATAATCAGGATCATTGCAACCTTAAAATGAGATGATTAAAAATGATTGCCTTAATTTGAATATGTTTTTAGACTGGTATTTATATAATTGTGAAATAATTATAAATATTAAGACTCCAATAACTTTTGAATTCATTTTACTGCTTGGGTATGAGACAAAATATATGCACGATAAGCAACACATAGAGTTATCAAAATTACGCATTGATCTGCTTATTGCTTAATTCATTCATATAATGTAGACATATATTGCGCCATTTGTCTGGTATGTTTTAAAGCAAAGAGGATATTTTTCACAACGACCAATTAAAGGTCATTAAAGAGTATTTGTAATAGAAGTGAGTTGACCTCGTTTTCAGAACTTGGTCTTGTTGTCAGGGGGACTTAGTTAAACGCAGCTAGTCCGAAGTCGTCTGCCATAGTAGTTATCATAATTTTTAGTCGAAGACAGTAGACTTAGTACATTCTCAGCACCAGGCTACAACTCTTCAACTCGTGAACTCCATTCCTCATCTAACGTTCTGCTGAAATGGTTACACTATCACTCCTCTTTCTGCCCTGTCCCATATCTCTACTCTTTACCCTCTTATCCCACTCCCACTATCACAACTTGACTAGTTTACATTCCACTCGTCAAAAGAAGTGCCCTTTTTGGAAAGTTTAGTACAGCCTTATCATACCTGCCTACCTTGGCCAGCTAATCCGACATGGGCCTCCTATCCGGATCTCATTATCCCGTAGATCCGTTTCTTATTTTTTTAGTTTATCTGAGCAAACTGTGAACGCATATGCATTGTCGCCTGCGATCTCTCAAGTGAATTTTTTATGGAATTTTGGCTATGCCGATTTTCTGTGAAGGTTGTGCTTATCCGTCTCCCTAGTTTCCTGATTTCTTTGAACAGACTTCACTCACCATGATCCTCTTTGCTTGATTTCCGAACTGCGATTTGTCCTGCTAATTCGGATCTTTCGATATCCATTTTCCTGCAGAGTCTTTGATGTTCCTTGATTCGTATGCTAATTTTTATCCCTGTTACGCCAACATATTTATGCTCGCAGGCGCTGCATGTTATGCAGTAAAGTCCTGAACAATCCCATTTATCCTAACCTTCATATTGCGTCAGTAGACCTGTGAAGAGCGTTGTTTTTCCCTTCATGGCCACCAGAATATATCGTTTTTTTTGGTATTGGCCATAATTTCTGAGTTACTTCGCAATAATGTAGTAATATCAACTTTTTTTAATCCTCCGTCACTATTCATTCGTTGTCTCCGTTCTACCATCGGTAGCCGTTGTCAAGGAATATCCTAGTCCATTTATCCAATTCTCCATTCCAGAATTACACAGCAGTTGAACGTAATCTTCGAATGATCATGCTCTTCATTATTCCTACTTTTAGTCTAGTTGTGATGGGACTGGAAATTGGGTATCATCTCTGCCTAAGTGTTTTTCTAAACAATCTCTTCTTAAGCGAACTACTTCAACATCTAGTAAAGGTGACCGTTCACCTTACTCTATTTCCATAATGAATTTGATTTTTCCATCAACCCGGTTTATAATCTTCAGAAAATCATTCAGTTTTTCTCCTCCATGTGACCAAAGTGCGAAGTAATCGTCTAAATACAGCTTGAGCATTGCTAGTTGTACTGGTGACATCTTGAAATTCTCCAACTCCTAGTTCTATAACTCGTCTTTAGCTTCTGCTGATCATACTCCTTATTCCGCTCTTCAGTCTTCAGTTGTGATTATACTTAAAATTGAGGATTATTCCCGCATGCTATTTCTTTCTAAATAGTTTCCTCATGGGTGGCCCCTCTCAGCACAACTATAGAATAATCGGAATAACGAGGAGTGTGATCATCAGCAGTTTAAGACTGATGAACAATGAGCTCTGCGGCGAGGAGTTGGATATACTGACTCGGATTTGCCTTAGTAACGGGTACTCCAGATAATTTATATAAAGAAATATAAGGATCATAAAGAGCAGATTTCTGCTAGGATTTTATGAAAATAAGATCAGGAATCTAGAGGAAGACCAAAATTGGATGTGCCTGTACTCCTGTGAACTGAGCTACAAATTGGGATCGTTGCTAGGACAATGAAATATCAAGGTGATAA